ACTCACAGAGATCCACCTGGCTCTGCCTCCCAAGTGCTGGGATTAAAGGCGTGTGCCACTACCGCCCGGTGCCTGAAGAATGTTCTTTCTCTTGAGAAAAATGTGTATTCTGCTTTTGTCTAGAGGCATTATTGGGCCCATCATCTACGGTAATACTTACATCATTTTCCGATCAGTTTTCTGCCTGGTTTTCTTGTTCCATTCATTGCTGGAAGTAGGACAGGAAGGCTGGAGTGTAGCTTGATGGTAGAGCATTTGTGTAACATGTATGAGTTCAATTCCTAGTGCTACAAGAAGAAAATGTAGAACACTGGACTCTTTTTATTACTCTTCTGCTACTTTTCCCTCCAATTCTGTCAAATTTTGCTTCAGGTATTTCATATGTTCAGAAGCTCTAATGTCTGATGCATAAGTACTATTATTTATTCTTAATCAATTGGCCGTTTTGTTATGTATTGTGCTTTATCTTTTTAAATTATTGTTTTTGAGATTATGATGTGATTACATCACTTTCCCTTTCTTCCCTCCATACCCTCCTATTTATTCCTCCCGACTCTCCTTCAAATTTATGGCCTCTTTTTTCATTAATTATTGTCATATACATGCATGTGTCTATATTCCTAAGTATAACCTGTGCAGTCTATATAATGTTACCTGCATGGATGTTTTTAGGACTGACATTTGGTGTTAGATAATCCCTGGGTAAGGCCGTTTGTCACTCAGCGTTCCTGACTTGCCTGGAATTCTTGGTGTAGAGTTGAGGCCTCATGCTCTTTCCCCATCTACTTGTGGCATGCCCGTTGTTGGTGTCCTTGGTGAGCTCGGGTTTAGACAGTCATGCTGGTGAGACTCTATGGGTGCAGCAAACTCCCTGGTCCTCCGGCCCTTACAATCTTCTCACCCCCTCTTCCGCAATGTTCCCTGAGCCTCAAGAGCAAGGGTTGTTTTGTAGATGTGTCCATTGGGCAGTCGTAGCACTCGTACCTTGATGGTAGCCAGCAGATCTCTAGTTAGACTTAAGTGCTATTCAACAAAAGGGCAACCACGCCTTATACTAGAAAACAATTCCAGCTACCCAGGGATGGTGAAGTCATGGGTCTTGGAGATGAACCTACCACCATCACTTTGTACCAGATATGGGTAGGCCTTACCCCTCATCAAGGAAACGTCTTGTAATAGATGGAGACCATCCCATAAAACCACAGCCAATCAAAATGCAGAGTGGAGGAACCCGGTCCCAGTGTTCTTCACCTTATGTCACGGATTTTGACTTTAAGTCTATATTGTGTGTTATTGCTATAGTACTTTTAACCTATTCTAGTCACCATACACACGGAGCATCTTTTTCCACCTTGGACCCTCAACCTGTGTTTTTCTTTAGAGTAAAGGTGTTTTGTAAGCCTCCCATAATTTGATCCTGATTTTTTTTAATCTGTTTTGCCAATATATACTTTTTCATTGAGAAATTAGTCAATTTACATTTGATACAATAACTACTAATAGAACAGAACTTATTGGTGCCATTTTATTATTTTCTCTGTGTTATAGTGTTTTTGCCCCTCATTTCTTCAATTAATTCTTTCCTTCATGTTAAAATTGTATGTTTTATTTTATGTTCCTATTTCCTTTTAAATAAGTTCTTTTGTAATTTCCAATTTTTTAAAAAAAGTTGTAACAATTGAATTTAAGCTGGTCTAAATTTCAATTACATACCAAAATTCTATTCCTTTTCAGCTTCCCTGTTTTATGAAGTTGTCACAACTTACATCTGTCTTATATAAGCATTAATATATATTCATAATTTTATACTTTTCTTTTGAAATCATGAAGAAAAAGTAGAGTTTCAAAACAGAATTATGATAATACTGAGCTTAGTATTTATGCATGTTTTTGTCTTTACTGGAGGACTTAACTTTTTTAATGTATTTGTTGCTGTTTTGAGACAGGGTCTGTCCAGGTATGACCTTGAACTATGTCAGCGAGGGTCCTCCTGTCTCTACCTCCTCAGCATTACAGGAGTGTGTTGCCACACCCAGTTTACATGGGACAGGGGATTGACCCCAGGGCTCCCTGAGAGGTAGGCAAGCACTTTACCAACTAAGCTTCATCCCCAGCCTGAGAAATTTACATTTTTATTTGGCTTCAGATTATTGTAGAAGGCCAGTTTGGAGGACTTCTTTTAGCATTTCTTGTAGGGCAGATAATAAACTTGGCTTTTTAAAATTTTCCTGTAAGTATTTGATTTCTTCTGTACTTTTCGAGGGCAGTTTTGGCTGGATGTAGAATTATTTTGTTATTCCTTTCTTTCTTATGGCATTACAATATATCTTCCCAGCGCCATCTGGACCACAAGGCTTCTTGTGGCCAAGAAGTCCGCTAAAGGTGACAGTCCTTGACGTATGCTGAGTTTCTTTGGCCCCTTTCAAGATGCTCTGGTTTTGTCTTTCAGCAGCTCAAGTGTAAGGCCCTTGGGTGGACCTCCTTGGGTTTATTCTACTTGACATAGACTCAGCTTCTTCTGTACTTGTCTTTCCTTGGATTTAAAGTTTTGGCAATTTTTTTTCATGTAAATTCACTGTCCCTTCTCCATGAATCCTCATAATGTGTATTGGGTCAACATAATGGTATCTCCCAAGCCCTTTAGATTGTGTCTATTTTTATTAATTCTTTATTCTTTTTATTCCTCACAACATTTTCAAAAGATGCATCTTCAACTTGGCCTATTCTTTGCTTTCCATGTTAAATTTTTCTGTTGCTCTCTTCCAGTGAATTTCAGTTCATTTAGCATAATCTTAGCCCCATGATTTGTTTGGTTCTTTTTCATAATTCGTGCCTCTTTGCTGACATTCCCATTTCGTTATTTTCCTCTTTTTTAAATATTTTTGGTTCTTTCCTTCTTTTCCTTAGCTTTCTAAGCAAAGTTTAAGATTATTATTTTAAAGTCGTTGACTAGAAACTCTAAAACGTCCTTCTCTTTTCACATCCATGTCTGGAGAGGCATTCTCTTTCTTTGAATGAACTACCTTTCCTTGGATGCTTGTGGGTTTTGTTGAAAATTGAGAAGTTGAAAGAACATCCAGATCCGTGGACTGGCTCCATGTTTCTCCTTGATCGAGAGAAGTGTCAAAGTTCAGGGTCTTTTCAAGTCTTTTTGGAGCATGCATTTCTTACAGATCCATGTGCATACATACTTAGAGTTTTTCCACTTCCTGCCACATACACAACTATTTTAACATACCTTCATTTTTCTCAGAGTTTTCTTGGAGACTTAAATGTTCTGTTGTATTCCTCTGCCCATTGCCTCTCATTCCTAGGTACCCATGAGTCCAAAGTCTCCTTGTTAGTTCTCTGTGCCACGATGCTTATTACTGCCTTCATCATCTTTCAATCCAAAGTCCTTCCATCGTCTCCCCCAAAAACACACACTCAGGTCTGTCACAGAAATAGTTCCCTCTTTGGTACCAATTTCTGTCTTAGTTAAGGATTTTATTGCTGTGTTAAACACCATGCCATAAGCAACTTGGGGTAGAAAGGAGTTTATTTTGTACTTACACTCCCTTATCATAGTCCACCATAAAAGGAAGTCAGGACAGGAACTCAGGCAGGGCAGGAATCCGGATGTAGGAACTGATGCAGAGGCCATGGAGGAGTGCTGCTTACTGGCTTGCTCCCCATGGTTTTCTCAGTTTGCTTTCTTATACAGTCTTGGACCCCCCACTCAAGGGTGGCACCACCGCCCACAGTGAGCTGGGCCTTCCCGTGCCAATCATCAGTCAAGACAATGCCCCCCAGGCTATTCTGGTGGGACTGTTTCTCAACTGATGTTCCCTCCTCTCAAATGACTCTGGCTCGTCAAGTGAACACAAAACTAACCAGCGTAGAAAATAGTATTCATTGTTGAAAACTAAACTAAAGTTAGAGCAGTGGGAGCTAAAACAAAAATATGGCTCAGTCAGGAAAGTGCTTGCCACACAAGCCTGAGGACCTGAGTTCAGATCCCCAGCCCCCATGTGTGCTGGGCACAGCCACGCCCATCCGAACCCCAGCACTGAGGGAAAGGAGACAGGCAGGTCTCTGGGCAGCCAGTGTGGCTACCAGGTGAGCTCCAGGTATCTCAAAACACAAGGTGGAGAGTGACTAAGAGAGACAGCAAATGTCAACTTCTGGCCTCCACACAGCATGCACGTGCACCCCACTGTGCATGTACGTACACATGCACACACACACATACACCACACACACGAAATTAGCACATCATGTTCAACTGTAGATGAATACATAAACGTGCAAATATGCACACACACACACACACACACACACACACACATACACACACATTTTTGAGCGCCTGCTAAGTTCCTTCAGCTTGGTATAATCTACTCAACAACATCCAGGGAATGTACACTGCGTGACACTATTTTGGGTACTTAGCTCTTTAGTTAGTGAACTTTACCACTAAGAAGCAGGCATTCTAATGAAGCTGATACTGAAAAAAAAAAGAACACATGCTGTAGGATTATTATTTATAGCATGTAAAAGAGAACATGTGCTATAGAGGGGGAAAATCAAACATCAAGAAGAGGAAGAAAGAGTTGGGGCTGCGGCATTAAATAGAATAGTCTGCGTGGACCACACTAAGACAGCACATCAGAGCAGAGACTTGAGTGAGGAGTAGAGATGATGTTGCTGTCTAGGGGAAAGAACATTCCGTCAGAGAGAACAGCGGGTAAAGGTAGGAGGTAGGAGCACCCATGACAGGCAGAAGGGGCCCGTGGAGAGTTGACTGGTTAGACATTAGGTCCCAGAACTATTAGGGCTGGTACGCAAGTTGCTGGAGTCCTTGTATATAGTCAGCTCTTGGACCTTTCCTCTGTGTTAACAGTGGGTGCCGCGGCACTGTCTAGCACTAAGTGGAATAATTCGACTCGCATTTTCAAAGGATTTCTCGGGTCACTGTGCTTGAGTCTAAAGGGAGTTGGTGGTTGTTTCTGCCGTCTTAGGTATATGACAGCTAACACTGACACAGAAGAACAGAGTTTCCCGGGCCCTAAGGCTTTTAACACGCACATAGAGGAACTGAAGTTGGATGTCCTCCTTCAGAAGGTAGACCTTTTACGGATAAATGAGTCTGACAAAGTGCAGAGTTTTGAGCTGCTTTGTGACCACAAAGAAAAGGTAAGAGCTGCAAGTGCGTAACATGTGTGTGCCGTTTTCCATTTTTATTTAAGTACTACCCTGCTCATATTGGAACTATAATACTGTGTCACAGCATAGAAACAGAATGATTGATGTATTTCTTATAAAATGAGTAATTTTTTTAAAAATTAAATTTGAGTTAATTAGGTTTACCTAAGGTCACAAAAGTAGGAACCAACCTTATATAGAGTTACTTTGATTTTATTAACTTTGATACATAATGCATGTTTTGTAACATGAAGAATAAGTCATTATGCCCATGCATACAGTATGTTTTCCCTGGAGAGAATAAAAATTGTAGTTGGAGTTTCCTATATTGCTATCAATATCATATCGATCAGTATGCTCAAGCTGTTTCTATCGATAGTCATTCTGCAGTGTTTCATGTGGGACTTGAAGAACTAATCTTGTCTCACCATCACCAACAACAAAAGGGACCCAAGGGCTCTAAGATCTAAGGGGAAATCAAATCTTTTTTTGCCCATGAGCAATACAAGGCTAACCTTGGTCTGAGGGTTTAGCAGCTCTAACACACTGTAAAACCTGTAGATCCTAACTGATTAACACATAGCATACAAATATACCAAAAGATCAGACGATGCTCTATGAAGATGTGCAAGAATTAACTGTCAATAAGAGTTTTAAAAAATTCAAAAATATTTACAATTATAATTGGGTCATTTAGGTAAAAATTGTAATGTCCTTTCTGAGTGTATGTACTTTAATTTACAAATACTCCCTACAATGCTCAGTAAGCTATTTATCATACTGGCAGTAGACCACTTACGAAGGATGAGAGAGAGGGTGCCCTAGTCCAGGGAGACGGTTTAGGTTCTGGCCCATGTCAGTTCCGTCTGCTACACAATTGGATCTAGTTTCCAATTAATATTAATTGATTCACAATATGAACGTAACACTATATTGGGCCATATTTCTTAGCCATAAATACTTGAGTTTAAAATGTTAAATATCCATATGTATAAATTCAGTCATCTATAAATACCATTTTACCTGCCTTTAAGGTACAATGAAAGCAATGATGTCAGTCTGGACAAACTAATGCATTAACCTAGTGTGCGATTCTGTCTTTCCAGTTTAGTGAAGAGATAGAGTTTCTGTGGCGGCTTGCCCGTGCCTATGGAGACATGTATGACCAATCTACAAATACACAGGAAAAGAAACATTATGCTAATATTGGTAAGTAATTTGTCAAATGAGTTGTTCTCAGGTGGCATTATCTTCCACAATAAGCCATTAGTCAATTTTAATTCATGCAAAATCATCTCAGTTAAAGACTTCATCTATCTCCAATATATCCTGGTAACCAAAAACTATACACAATCTCAGAAAAGGCCTTCCAGGACTAAAGTTCCTTTAAAACAATTGAGCTAATAATATTAGAGCAGGGAACTAGAAAAAACCCAGACTTCACTTTTTAAGTTCTTTTCTTTTTCTTCAAGACAAAATTTCTCTGTAGTTTTGGTGCCTGTCCTGGATCTCACTCTGTAGACCAGGCTGGCCTCAGAACTCACAGAGATCTGCCTGTCTCTGCCTCTGAGTGCTGAGATTAAAGGCGTGCACCACCACTGCCCGGCTCTTTTTGAGGTCTTCAAGACTTCCCTTTTAGTATCGCAGGAAGCCAAAACACCTGTGCTCGTATTTGAAGCACACTAATAAGCCAAGGAGGATCGTGGTCTCCAGCTGTAACTGCTCACAGGTAAACTCACAGCTCACTTCCCGTGGCACACAGGCCTAGGAATGCAGAAATAACCTCTCAGATGTCAGGAATTCAGAATGTATCTGGAAGAATAAAGTCAACCCTGATTTGATGGTTATTTAGGTTATTTAAGATGAGTGCATCATGGCAATCCATTATACTGCCGTGTCTACATTCTGCGTGTATTTTAAATTTTCCTCAGTAACAGTAATGGCACAATGAAAGCCAAGGAGAAGGTCGAATTATTGCTGTTGTGGCCCTGTTTATGTTTCACTGGGGGTCAGAAGGCTTTTCTGCTCAGAAGCCCCTGAGCTGCCATCTCTCTGAGCTTCAGAATAATTGGTGTCGTAGTTGGTTTTTCCTCTTTTTGTTCCAAAGCGTTCTCTTTCCCTGGCTTTTCTATGGCAGCATGAGAAAGAAAGGGAGGACTCCTCCAACTCTAGTTCCGGCATTTTCATTTCCATGAAGGACGTACCACCAGAAATCTGTGGTGGTCTTTCTTCCCGTTGAAGATTTCCTTGCTGAGTGACCTCTGCACCTTAATTCCTCCCTTACTGAAGGAAGATGAGAGACTTCCCCTCTTGTCCTGTCATATTTATCCTTCACCTTCCCGGGGTTAGTCTCCTGTAGCAATCCAGTTGGCAGGTGATATCCATACACAGTGGAGTTTTTAAAGAAGCAATTTTGAACCAGAGTCTAAAAGGATTTATATTCCTATCTGCGAGGGGGGAGTGAATAAAGCATATTGATGTGAAAACTGTTGGACATTCATCAGCAGTTATGTATTTTTTTTCTCTAGCACTTTCTTCTCTTGGATGTTCTGTTAGCAGATGGGGCTAGGAACACAGAATAGATGGGATCTCAAAATGATTGAGGGGGGCCTCTGACTTTGTTGGGAAGGCGGTACTGTTCAAATAGTCACATATAAAGAGACCAACAGAGATGGGCTGTTATTTTAAAAGAGGGTGGGGTGCTCAGAGTTTATAGCAAAAAGGAGGCATCAGTAGCAGGAGCTAGAGCTTCATGGGGGGAAATGAAGGAGGTAACCAGTTCCCATAGGGTACAACTTATGGAAGTAACCCATCCCCATAGGTATAATGTTTCAGTCTGTTTTGAAACTGAATGGGAGCCCAAGTGAGGTGTCCTAGTTAGCTTTACCTGCCAACTTGACACAGCTTAGAGCTGCCCGAAGAGAGTCTCGGTTGAGGAACTTCCTAGATCAGATTGGTTTGCGGGCACGTCTGTATGGGGGTTGTCTTGGTTGATAATTGCTGTAGAAGGGCCCAGCCCACTGTGGGCAGTACCATTCCCTAGACATGGGAGTCCTGGACCAAAGCATGGGCCTGAAAGCTAGATATCAAGCAGCGTATCTTCTTAGTTTCCTCTGTGCTTTCCTGGCTGTGCTTGAGTTCCTTGGTTAAAAGCAATGCTGTGTGGACTAGCAAGCAGGCCTGGATCTAAGTTTCTGCCTGAGTTCCTGCCCTGACGTCCCTCAGTGGTGGTCTAAGTATTTGTCACAGTAACAGAATGGAGCTAGAATAGTTCATGTATGAAATCATGGGAAAGTGGGAAAACAATATGAAGGGAATGCAGGGGTTAAGTCCTGAGTGCATAGAGTCGACATGAGGTTTATCCTCAAGATGAAAATCTACAGTTTCACGGCAAAAAGAGAGCTCTGTTTTCATTCATACAGAAGGAGGTTATCCAAATAGTGAGGCAAAGCAAAAATCACTTTTTTGTACTTTTAAGAAATTCATTGAAGATGTTGTTGTCTGGAAGCGGTGTTAAAGTGTAGCGAGAAGAGGTGAAGAGGGAGGCAAGGGACACATGCAAGTGTGACAGGGCCACACGTGAGAACTGGCTGGGTAGAAAGGACCGATAAGCGGCCATCGTAATTCAGTGTATGAGGACCAGACGCTTGGTGAGATCACGATCAGGAACACCGGGGCTGAGAGCCAGGGTTCAGTGAGCTGGTGAGGAATGTTGGCTTCAGTATGAGGAGAGGTGTTAAAGCGGATTTCCTCCTCAGCTCGTGTGTGAGGTCACTCGGAATTCTTTTATAAAACTCAATTAGTGCGCCATTATGCAACACATTTTCCAAGTGTGATTGACTATTTACTCTTGTATTCCAAGTAAACTATTATTCTCATTCTTAAGGGGGCATTGCGATAATACTTAAATGCTTGGTATGGATGCCTGTTCTGTAGGGGAAGGAGCTGTTCTTGGGGGTGAAGAGGCGACGATACAGCCAGCCCGTGTGCTACCCAACTTCCTCTGTTACCCCACAGTGGTGGCTTTGACCCTGCCTAAGTCTGTGGTGGTGCACTAAAAGTTTCCATTTGACAAGGCAGCCGAAGTATTGATTCAGATCTAAGCTTCTGTTTTGAGACAGCCTTGCTGTACAGGGCAAGCTGGCCTTGAACTCACAATCCTCCTGCCTCAGACTTCCAAGTGCCAGAAGTGCAGGTATGCACCAGCCACCAGACTCAGCTTAGTTTGTTTCTCACAAAAGAACACATTTTTAGCTGGATGCGGTAGCTCATACCTGTGATCCCAGTACTGGAAAGGCTGAGGCAGGAGAATTGCCATGAGTTCAAAGTCAGCCTGGGATTCATAGTGAGTTCCATACCAGTTTAAGCAAGAGTGTAATACTCTGTCTCAAAATTAAAAAAAAAAAAAAGGTATGTTTCTACCTGGGGGAAAGGGAGTATGTTTCTAGTGTTTCATTAAAAAATAACTGATCCTTTGATGCTTGTCCAAAGGTAATACCAGTTATTACTAGAATGCCTTACTTTAATTTTTTTCCATTTCAGGTTGATTTCTACACAATATATGTCCCTTAATGGATACACTATAGCATGCACCTTGAGCAAGTCATAGATTAGAGACTGGTTTTTACAAGGTCCCTATTTAAGATTCTCTCGGCCACTTTTGTAGTCACTGGGTAGTGTCTTCAAGGCACCAAAAGGGGCTGGGGTCAGGGAGGAAAGAGGCACGGGGGAAAAAAGTATTCTCTTTTTGAGAGTCTCAGAACACAGTCAAGCCATTGGAGAACCTCCGTGAGAAATAGTCCTCACGTGATTAAAAGCTATTCTAAACTGAGTGTAATAATTTAAGAGCATCATGTGTTCCTTGGACCCATTCTTGTTGTGAATGAGCAGGCCAAGCTCCTTGGGCCTTCCACACCCCTTCACACACTCTCTGCTGTCCTTGGATGGTGTACTTACTTTTCAGTCAAGTTCCTTGTGTGTGTACTCGCTGTACACTGAAGGCTGCAAGCCCTGGAAGTCAGGGACCGTCTCTAATGTGATGTTTTGGTCCTAGAGGTTCACACAACATGACAGCTAGTGATCACTCAGCAAACGTCGTCGTATGAATGGATTACAAGAAAACAATGTGTTTTTCTTTCACGTAATGAGTAAGAAACTTCCCTTGCCCTGGCCTAAGTCAGTTAACCCAGTGGGTCTCAAATGTGAGCGCACAACAAAACCCTTGAAAGCAAGTAAAACATGATCAGGCCTGACCCCCAGAGTAAACAGTTGGCCCCGGTGGTGAATGTCCTCTTCTAACAAATTACAACTGGGACAAATGCTTTCCCCCTTGGATCCTATTCAGGAGCTGCTGACTCAGTTGAAGACCCCATCTCCTACCACGTCCTGTAACAACAGTAACTTCAGTCTCTTTGTCTTTCAGGAAAAACGTTAGGAGAGAGGGCTATCACTCGAGCACCCATGAATGGACACTGCCATCTGTGGTAAGCACACGGGAGCCCTGTAGCCTTAACCTCACCGTATGCCTCTACGCCCCTCTCTCTCTCTCCACGGCCCTGAGTTCTGATGACTATTGTTGCTGCATTGAACTGGTCAGCCGCACTTGCCACTCAGAAAAAAGATAGTGGATAGTACAGCAACTGTTACCATGCTTATTCTCACATATTTCTCTTTAGACGCATTTTAAACGTGAGAATCGCACGAGACTCTGTAACAAGTCTCTGTGCCTTGGAGGATAAACTATAATTAAGTCTAATAAAATATACCGGTTTTTTAGCGGGGCGATGGTGGTGCACGCCTTTAATCCCAGCACTCGGGAGGCAGAGCCAGGTGGATCTCCGTGAGTTCGAGGCCAGCCTGGGCTACAGTGTGAGATCCAGGACAGGCACCAAAACTACACAGAGAAACCCTGTCTCGAAAACAGACAGACAGACAGACAGATAGATAGATAGATATAGATAGATAGATAGATAGAGATAGATAGATAGATAGATAGATAGATAGATAGATAGATAGATAGATAAAAATAAATAAAATATACCAGTATTTTGGAAACATATACTAAAATTATGTCATGTGTCTGAACAAAATGAACAAAAGAGCCAAAGAATCAAAGCACAGAGGTCATTTTCTCTCACCTGGTGGATCACGGGAAATAAATTCCCCAGGTCAAGGAGAATCCAGCCTGTGTGTAAGATAGCCCAGAGCAATGTGGGGAGGCATAAGATGAGCGCCGTTGGAACAAGGGAGGAAAAACACTTCATGGTTCTGTTTGTTTGCTTGTTTGTTTGGGGTTCGCTGTTTTGTTTTTGAGGGCGTGGTCCCCTTGTATTCTGAAAAATAGAAAACTAGAAGAAGCATGTTGTTTTAAATCATCCTTCCTGTCACTTGTCGCGGCAGCTTTTTTTTTAGATCCTTGGTTGTCGGCTACCGCGGTCGGCTTTGCTCTTCTGGTGGGCGGTTCATACTGTTACTGTTACCCAGACATTAAGGCTATACGGTGAAAAATTAACTTATGGCCCTTTCTTCAGTGCGGGTTTCCAGAAATATGCCCCCTCTGGGGTTATTTTGTTTCTTTAGGGACATCATTAGGCAAAATCTATTTCAAAACAGCTGCATCTTCGCTGTTCGCGTTATCCCTAAGGATTTTGTTTGTTCACTGGACGAGCCGGAAGCAGAGCCGGCTGTTTATTCGGTCGTCAGCAGGGGGCGCTCCATTCTCAAGCACTCACTTAAATCTCCTCAACAAAAACCCAGGGGTTTTTGTGTACCCCAAACTCTAAGAAACACACCCCAAAATGGGAAATGAACTTCAGAAGCTAGAACATGTGACTCGACTGCCAGCACACCTTATATGGATAGTGGTCCCTTGAATAGAAAGTGGGTGGGAAAAGCAGCTCAAACCTGAAGCAAAGGGGTGACCGTGACGTTAACTTTCCGCCACAGACTTAAAAGGTCACTGAATGTGTAAGAATCCTGGGTTTTAGGTCTCTGGTTAGTTTATCTAGGTCATCTAATCTGTATAAACATATACTTCTAAATTAGCGTGTGTGTTTAAAGGGCTTCGTTCCTTCACTTTGAGGAGTACTGAAATGAGTTTGTACTGAGCAAGCTATTTTCTCTCCTCGTCTCTTTTGAAACTGGGTGTCTGGGACCCAGTTAACCAGATCTGGGCCAGAAAAAAAGCATTCCTGTTTCACCCTTAACTCTGAGTTTCCCTCCTTCTCCCTACTCCTCCTCCATACCCTTTGTTTCACTTCCTCTCTCCCTTCCTCCTCCTCTTCTCCTTCTTCATCTTCCTCTGCTCTTCCCTCTATCCAACATTGTAACCATCAGCTCCTCAATAGTGACACGGAGACTTATTAATTGTGAACGTCCGGCCGATAGCTTAGGCTTGTTTCTAACTCGCTCCTATAACTTAAATTGACCCTATTAATTTACTTTCTGCCTTGTGGCTTTATTACTGCATCTCCATATTACCCAACCTACTTGCTCTGCATCTCCTCACATCTCCACCTTCTTCCCACCATCCTCTCTGCCAAAAACACCCTGCCTAGCTATTGCCTGTTCAGCTTTCTATTAAACCAAACCAATCAGAGTGACACATCTTCACGATGTACAAAAAGTTTATTCCACAACACAACATTCCTCTGAACCCATGAAGAATCACATTATAAATGTGCATCGTCTTCAGTGAGGACCTTTATCAGTGTAAGTTTTCAGTTTTCATACAGAAGCAATATTGAGTCTTCTCCAAGTCCCTCTCCCCGATAAGTACCTGTGTTCTGGCTAGCTAAGGCAGACTGTGCTGAAATCACACTCAGTAGGTTGCTCTGTCTCCTTTAAACCCCTTCTCTCTCTGTCTCACTTTTTCTGTTGTCAATTAAATTGTTTGTGACAATGGGACTTAAATACTAGATTAAGTCTTATCACCACAAAATAATGATCCAATTATGTTTGACATGATGTTTTTAAATTTGGTATCAATTTTTAACTTTAAAAATGTTAAAATCAATCCAGTTGATGAAAATGTAGTAAGTTTGAATGCCAGTTTAACCTTAACTCTTAGAATGTGTTTTACCTGCTTGGTAGAAAAGCCTTGATTCAGTGAAATAGTAAAATTTAAGGTGGTGATGAAATCTTAAACTTTGACTCGTGAAATAATGGGTGGAATTTAGATAAACTGATTCCATAGCTCGTCCTCACAGTGTTGAGGAAAATGACTTGACTCATTCAGTCAACAAGAATGGCAAACTGTGGTCTGAAGCCTAAATCCAGCAAAACAAACATCTGGGGGTCTAGGTCAGGTTGGAAAGAGTTTCTCTGATGTAACTTTAAGGCTATATAAACATTCTAAAAGATTCCATCGTCTTTATTATATCAATCTAAAATAGTCTGGAATGGAGATAATAAAATATATTTGCATTGTGTTGGCCAAATGGGTTTGGTTGTAGGTATAGATGTATCTTCCGTGTGAGTTGTGCTCTACTGTTTGTGAGTTACAGCTGCACACCTTGTAGTGTATGTGTCACAGGAAAGTCTGTTTCCATTTTCTAAATACAGAAGCAAAGCCCCGTACGTGTGGTGTGTGTGTGTGTGTGCGCGTGCGCGCGTGCACTTATTAGTAAGCAAGGCCACACTATATGTAGAAAAGCAGAACTAGAACTTAAGATATTATATTCTGATGTTTTCAACCATCCCTCTATTCCAGGAGGCTCTCCCTGATCCCTCCCATGTACATAGTGTTAGTGTTGAATCACAAATATTGCAAGAAATGAGTGTGGTTATTTTAGGAATTGTTGAAATAATATGGCTGTCACACATTGAGGGTCACACACACACACACCACCCCCACACCACACACACAAAATCAGAAGTCTTGTGAAAGCAACAATACTTCAAATAACCTCTAGATGGCGGTAATCCACCATAGTGTAAAGTAGCTTTCCTCGGCATTTCCATCAACTAAGAGTTTAAGCAATAAAATATTAAGTTACATTTTAAAATGAACACTATAAAAATAACATACACATAGCTAAAGCTGATTAGAAGAAAGGAAGTGATGGCCTTTTGGGAGAAAGTGAGCCAGTGGAGTTTATGACACAGAAAAAGACAAATAATATTTTCAGAATCAGAAGAAAGATTTCAGGACGGATTATAAATGTCCTAAGTCTCTAGGGGCATATTATTTGAAAGGGGAAGAGCACTTCCTATAATGTTTATAACTCATGGAATTTCTTTGTCTTTTCTCTTCACTCACAGTAATTGGAAAGAATGTGTAATAAGAGCAGATTAAAAACCCAGAGATTACATAAGTAATTCTGATTATTCAGAAAACATAGAAAGGAATTTTTATAAAATTATAGAAAACAAAATTAGGAGGTGCTGGACTTATGAAAGATGACAATAATAATTCAAAAGATTTTACCATGTTAAAAAAAAAAGATCCCTAATAATACATGAATTAAAGTGTCCAAAATGCTGAAAAACATTAGGGAAAAAACAGACATTTGAGTGAAGTATAAAGCCTAATTAATAATTGTATATTAATATGGGTTCATCGTAACAGCTGTTTATCAGTATCGATATAGTTAAAACAAATCTACTATAGTAGTAGAATATGCTAAAAATGGGGAAAACTAAGTATAGGGCATACTAACTGCCTGTGCATTTTTGTGTGTGTATAAATTTAAAGCTATTCCAAAAGGAAAGTATACTTAAATAGAAAGTGGCCTGAGGTTTTGAGTCCAAATAGGTTGAAAAATTGTAATATTCATAACCAAAATAGAGGTACTTACATGGAATTCTAGGGTTGAAATTACTCCTAGAATTCTTTGGAAGAAATGATACAGCAGAATTTTAGAGAGCATTTCAAAAGAACATATGAATAGACAATCAACCTAGGCCTTATTTATTAAAGGCCTAGAGTAAATAATTGACAGGAGCCAGGTGTGGTGGCGCATGCCTTTAATCCCAGCACTCAAAAGGCAGAGGCAGGTGGATCTCTGTGAGTTCAAGGCCAACCTGGTCTAAATAAGTGAGTTCCAGAGTTACACAGAGAAACCCTTCTCAAAAAACCTAATAATAATAATAATCAGGAAATACTAGAATCCACCAGTAAATTCTATCACATATTTAAGGGGAAAAAAACCACACCAACTTTTTACAAGCTCTTCCATAATTCCCTCTCTTTATCCCAGCACTATAATACTTCTAAAACAAGAAGAAATATTACAAGAAAACTGCGGGCCAGGATTTCATGAGCATAGGTATAGAAATTGTTTAATATGTATTAGCAAACTGAATCCTCATGATGAATGGAAAGAACACACGGTAACCATGTGGATTCTCTCCCGGACTTTTGAAAAGTTGGTTCAATGTGTAAAAATTGGTTAGTACATTAACAAACCGAAGAAGAAGAAAGACCGTGTGCCGGCATCAGTAGATGCAGAAAACCACACTGGACAGACAACTTTTATTCGTGGAAAGTCGAACAGACCAAACCTCTCCGAAAACTAGAGCGGGCACCTCCTCAGCTTGGCAGAGAACAAAGACCAGGCCGGCTGCGGTGAACATCATTCCTAACATCAGAAAGCTGCTTTCCTGCCATGTAAGCAGGAAGATAAGAGGAAGGGATGTCTATCCCTCACAACGCTGCTGTTTGGTGCTCCTCTAAGAGTTCCAGCTCCTGCCCAGAAGGATGTGAAAGCTACAGACTGAGAGGAAAAAATTGACTTGGTTTGCTGAAGACGTGACTGTCTTAACTCTCTTAGAATTTAGTCACCGAAAGCAAGGTGGTAGGATGCAAAATTGATGTACAAAACCCAGCCGCAATTGAAATTTAAAATTAAAATGCCTTGCCATTTGCTTAGCATGCCCCGAAAATTTGAATACTTAGGTTTTTAAAAATGCACAAAATGTACACACGATCTATATGAGAAAAAGTGCAAAGCTGTGCTAAGGGATGTGGAGAGCTAGTTCATGCTGTGGGTACACAGCCCCAGTATTGTCAAGATGTCAGTTTTCCCACTGTGGTCCTGAGATCCCACACATCACCAGCCAAACATCCCATCGACTTACTTTGGGATATCATGAACATATTTTATATGAGGAAACAAAAGACTCAAGTCAGTGCTGGAGGAGGAAACAAAGCTGAGGAGCAGTAGCCCTTGGCTTGAAGGCTTGGAACAGTAACCCAGGAGCAGCAGGGACCTCGGGACCTGCAGCCAAAGGGTCCAGATTTCACAAAGGAGGTTAAGAATGCTCTGGAACAGCACTCTTTTAATATCCAGCCTCTGGGTGCAGAAGAACAATATTAAGCCTCATTTGAAGTGTGTGAGTAGTCATCTGTCATTCTCTAGGTTCTCAGTCACTTCTACCAGGCTGGATCGACTGTTCCTCCTGCCTCTACCGTGATGGATTCCAGTGGCCGTAAAGAGAACAATGTCACAGCCGAAAGGGGCCATTTTCTTGGTTGTGCGTGACTGGTTGACTTCCTGTCATCCTTTGTTTCCCCGGAATGGTCTTACTGTTCCAAATTAAGAAATTGCTCACTTCATTTCTGTACTTAGAATTTTTGCTTATTCAAAGAAATGATTGAGCTAGCATCCAAAACCACATTCCTGATCTCAATTATTATAACAGTGCAATTCAGTAACAATCTTACAATCTCAGCCTAAGTTAATGTGTGTATTTTGCCTCAGGCAGCAGCATTCTGAAATCCTCGGAAGCCTTTCACAGACAGAAACGGGTGTGAAAAAAAATGTCCCTTCAATTTTTAAAGTAAATAAGCAAGTTGCTGAACACGCACTGCACCCAGCCTGTAGTCAAATAACCATTTCTATACATTTTGTATGCCCAGTGGGGAAAAGGAATCCCTAGGAACACTCTTGTACTAATACATTATTTCCAGCAGGAATTGAGAGAAAGGGAAAATCTTTTCAAAGTATGCTGTAAGATTATCTTTAGTTTTATTTGGTTTTAATCATGGGAGTTGTTTTGTTTTCAATGACATTTAAGGAGGTCAGGAAAGTTTTAAAGAGGCATATTGGTTTTAATATGTTTTAAAATTTATAAATCTGTTAACACATTTTTATCCAGTTTAGTGCATGATTAAACTTTCTCTGAGAGACTGTCTGATGATGACATTGATGATGGTATCTGGCGCTGGCTAAAACCTCCTGTTTTCCAGGCATTGTTGAAATCACATTACACTGGGTGGTTCATTTACCCTCACCACATATGTATGGCATAGACAACAATAATGTGTCCAGTTATGCCTGAAGAAGCTGGCTTCATATTAATGTCAAATATCTAGTTATAGGGCCCTTGCATCTATATTATCACTTCTGTAAAATGTTGATGAGTGCTCTAGAAATATAAGTGTTATATGATAGTGGCGTTTGTTTACAGTTGTACATGGCAGACACTGTTTTTTTTTTCCTTTCTAGGTATGCAGTTTTATGTGGTTATGTATCTGAGTTTGAAGGCTTGCAAAACAAAATTAACTGTGGACATCTATTCAAGGTATTTCTTGGAGTTCAGAATGTTCCATTTCACTAACTGGCATGAGACTATACAGCATGTTAAACTCTGGGGATTTATTTTGATGTTTAAACAACAGAAAATGAAACAGTTAATACTGTAACAAAAAGAACCAAACCATTTGGGTGTCTAAATATTATCCAAAAAGGTACAGGAACCCACATAGTAGGTGAGTGTTCGATTTTATTGGTCATGAACTCACTGACATAACATTTGACTGGGACTAGGCAGCCAACAGTCTCTACTGACTTATGGGGCAGAGGTAGGAGATATAGGGTCTAATCTAAAGCTTAAAGTTAGTTACTATGGTGTGTGAACAAAATAAGCAACTTGTCTACATACCATGTACTGTTTACTGTTGATTTTTGTGACCCAATAACTAATCTCTGACTCGGTAATTGTGGTGGAAGAAAATGGCTCTTCTTTGTTTCCCAGCTCCGGGTACTCACTCTGACAGTGCCTAGGGAATCAATCCATGCCGCTCCAGCACTGCTGTTTTTCTTAAATTAAATCCTGCTTCACGCCATCTTGTACAGATAAACTCGCTTCTGGGTCGATGTGTCTTCACTGGGAAAGTCTAGGACTGAAAGACGTTTGACTTGGTCGTATTCTAGTTTCACTGTGATGCTGGGCTTTAGATTAAGCATGGTCTGCCTAAGGTGCAAGCGTAGCTCCAGGTGCAGGAATTTCAATTTTGAATTATAGCCAAGATTTAGTTGCGGTAGTGGTGAGGAATGGGAAGTTGCTGAGACACTGTCAGACCGCTTTGAGTTCCCTGGGCTTTGGCACAGCTCCGTTCAGCAGTATCTGAAAGCAGGAGATAATTTTTCTGTGATTTTTTTTTTCCAGGAGCATCTAGATATAGCCATCCAGCTCTTACCTGAAGAACCCTTTTTGTATTACCTCAAGGGAAGATACTGTTATACTGTAAGTTAATGCCTTTGCTTAGAACTCTTGACTACGATGTGGGTATTGAATACATTTCCAATGGCTTACTCATTCTTTTTTTACCTATTTACTCATTTCTGTTTTTACCTATTGCACATTAGAGAGCATTGCAAAATTAATTTTTAATGTATGACATGTATGTTTTGAAATTGAATATTAATTTTAAATTACAGTGTATATACTTTATCATTTATAAACTTACATTTTACATATACCTAGGGGTGTGTGTGTGTGTGTGTCTGTGTATATACATTTTTTTCTTATCTTTCCATGGAATCGGCAGAAGTCATATGTTGGGCCTCTTAGGTTGAGATCAGCTACCACACACATGTTGTATGCAAGTGTACTACCACAGTTCTGTGGAAAGAAGATAAATACTATTTTTTTGTAGTGCTAGGGATCAAAACTAGGACCACCTTACACATTCATCACTAATCTACAGTTCCAAAAGTTATCTTCAAACATGACACAGGCCAAGGTTCCTTCAAGGAACTTAACATGATGTGGTATGAGATATTGAAATAGCTCAAATAAGGGCAACTGGTCAACCTAAGACCTGGTGTCCTAAAAAACACTATTAGCTTACAAAAGAGTTACAAAATGTAAAAGTTATCCAAAAAGGTGCATGACAAAGGTGCAGGGCTGGAATATACAATTAGTAAATAAGGACATTAGAGTGTACAGAAGCAAGAACCTTTTCATTAAGGCCAAAAGAGGACTGGGGAGGAGCAGCAGGCTCTCTCTTATTGAAGACCTGCTGTGTGCCACATGTGAATCTTATGCTTTCTATTTCATATTGCACTTAATCTATTTTAAGGTACAGTTATTTCTAGAGCTACACAGTAGAACTCTCTAAAAATAAAAGGCTGCAATAACTGTGAAAGAATTTGTAAATTATTATGCCCTTAATATTAGCCTCAAAATTATAAAATAAAAATTGACCAAATTATGCAAATATACTTATATTTGCAAATTGACAAAATGCTGGTAGACTTTACATGCTATTTGATGGGATGTTGGGGGGTAGAGTGGTATGTGTGTCCATGCATGTATGTGTGTATGTGTGTGCGTGCACAAACCCATGTGCGCGTATGGAGGCAACGGTTGGCATCAGATGTTTTCGCAGTAACTCACCCGCAACCTTATGGTTTGAGACAAGGTCTCTCTCTGAATCAAGCTTACCAATTCTACTAGATTGGCTGGCCAACAACAGTCAGGGGCCTGTCTATGTCTATCGCATCCCCCAACCCCAGTGCTGGCCATACAATTGCCCCACGCCTTTTACTTGGGTGCTGGCCACTGGGCACAGGTTCTTATGTGTGCAAGCAAGCCGTCTTCCTGACCCCCAACCTGCCTTTACTGAAAATTGATAAATCAAGAATACAAAAAGTATTCATAGGTAAAGCATATAATAAGCATATTAAATTCTATACTTAATAATGTATTGAAATGACTGGACTTCAGTTATACTCATCAATCTGATAAAAGCAATGTTAGATGAAAAAATCACAAAAGGAAATACATAATACAATATACTTTTTACAAAGTTTAGAATAACAAAACTAAGCAAACCAATAAATAAAATTGGGTGGAAATGCACATAGTTTTGTCAACACCAGGGATTGAACCCACAGCCTTGTGCATGCTCAGTAACTACAGAACTACATTGCTAGCTCCACAGGTATGTATTTCTTTTTACCAGAAGATGACTACCTAGAAATTTAAAGATGGGTTGAGAAGATCTTTGATGTCGCTGGGAGGACAAGGGCGTCATCAGTGTCTTTAAGTAGCATTTCTGAAATACATGCCCGATATTCATATTTGGGAACAGTGAACAAATAAATGACAACATGAAGTTGAATGATTACTATTTTTTTTTTATTGTCTGAGCATTCCATACATGCAAATAGCTTGTTTTGTTCAAATCCACCCCGTCCCTTTCTCTCCAGCTCCTCTCCTACCCTCCCTTCCACTCTTCCCTCCCAACTTCAAATGCTGTCTTTCTCTTTTAACCCCTAAGCATGTGCATGGGTGTAGGGCCGTCTACTGGAACATCTCCTGGAGCATCTACTGGCCGCCTCTCAGGGTCCTGAGTTGTAAATAAGTATGCTCAGCCCTCTAAACTCCCTAGACCAGGAATTGTGATTTCATATCCATCTTTAAGAAAGTGACTCAGGAGGCTAGTCGGTAGCATCAAGGAGGCAGGAGTAGAGCAGGGGCAGGTCCTGTCGCTACTATATACTGTGATATATTAGTTATGAGTATGTTTATTAACATGCATTATGTATATGCACATAGATCCATATGTGCTTACACATGTGGCTGGAGAGAGATCATATTCAGAAGATGAATAGCTTCCTAAGAGTGCTGTTCCTTTGTATGTATAGGTCTCAAAACTCAGCTGGATTGAGAAAAAAATGGCTGCCACTCTGTTCGGGCAAATACCATCGTCAACGGTTCAGGAAGCTTTGCATAACTTTCTTAAGGTGCGTTTGTCTGTCATTGGAGTGTCATTCTGCTTCATCCGCAGCAGCCTCAGCTGGCCTGCTGCCGAGGAAATGGTTCTTCTCTCCATGGGCAGAGCTCTTACCGAGGCCCCGATTTGAATTGTAGCCTTGATGGTGTTGCTCTTAAGTCTCTCAAGATTCAAGTCATGCTTCAAATATAAGCTTTCTGGGTCTGAAATTATGCTCTTGGTCCTGGGAATGGCATATTAATTTTTTGTTTTGTTTTTGGTTGGTTGGTTGGTATTTATTTATTTATTTATTTATTCCTTGTGTGTTTATGTATTTATGTATGTATGTATTTATTTATATTTATTTATTTATTTATTTATTTATTTATTTATTTATTTATTTATTTATTTATTTATTTATTTATTTGTTGAGACTGGGTTTCTCTGTGTGGCCCTGGCTGTCCTGGAACTCACTCTGTAGACCAGGCTGGCATCAAACTCAAAGATCCTCTGCTTCCAGAGTGCTGAGAGTAAAAGCCTGTGCCACCACATCCTGCTGGCACACTGCTTTTGAGAAGAAATTCGGTAGCCTAAATTAAGGTATAGGCAGAGCAACCCTTCCTACCAAATCTGAGAGCCAATTATTGAACTTGCTCCCAGCATTCCTCACGAGCCTGACACAGAACCAGCGTAGTGTTGAAAGGTTCTGCGATGTGACTCTTCTGGGGAGATGTGGACAAATGTTCATTGGGACCAGACAGGATGCTGGCCACAAATTGATTCTACCCAAGCAGAGCTGGACGAGCCAGAGTTTATAGGGTTCCTTACAGGAGCATACGGGACTCCAGGCAGCTGCACCCCAGAACGCCCCAGTGTGGGTGATGACTGGAGAAGCAGCCTCCCTAGAGTTCATCCAGCGTTCAGGCTGCTCCACTCAACGGTCTTCTTCCCCCGGCAACTGTTTCCTGCCTTGAAGCGGGGCCATGTGAGTCTTCTAACTCTCTGGGTTCCCTGAAATCTTGTTAAGGTCCCTGAGTTTCATGTGCCTCCTAAGTTTCCTTAGCTTCTTGAGTCTTGCAAGCCTCCCTTCTCCCTCCAGGAAAGGATGTTTCAGTTGGAGCAAATAGCTGCCCGAGAGATGTGAAGAATTACCTTGCCAACCACTTTCTAAGTTGCAGGCACACTTCTATAGAGGGTCTTCAGGCATTAGATCAAACCGTATTTTTATTCTTACTTTAGAGTGTATAGAGTGTACTTTGCTGATACAACTTTGAACAAGTAAAGGTAGTTTTGTACACATCTAAGCATGTGCTATATCCACCCATGAAACTAACTTACTCTGGAACCAGTTATACAATCCTGTAGTTACAAACTGAATGATCCACATCCAGAAACCTGCAACTGGAAATGCCTCCAATCTTGGAGCACCTTCCTGTCAGCTCTTAAAGTCTCAAACTCAGAGCATATGGGGTTTCCAGTTTCCAGATTAGAAATGCCCACCTCGTGAGGTCTATGCACAGATTCCGGTTATTTTGTTGTTTCCGGGAGGGGGTGCAGCAGAGAGCCCATGAGTAGATGTTATCTAGATAGGGTTTTCATAGAGCTAAGACCAGTCCTGAACGTAGGAGGAGGTGCAGTTGGACTGTCAGCCTGAGGCCTTCTTGGAATGGCTCAAGGAATACTCTTACCAGATAAGGAATATTGAGATGGAAGTGACTAGAAAAGAGAAACATTGCTCTTCCAGAGGAGCCGGGTTCAATTCCCAGCATCCACATGGCAGCTCACAACTGTCTGTAACTCCAGGATCTGGCATCCTTTGTTTGTTTGTTTGTTTTTGTTTTTGTTTTTGTTTTTGTTTTTGTTTTGTTTTTCGAGACAGGGCCTCTCTGTGTAGCTTTGTGCCTTTCCTGGAGCTCACTCTGTAGCCCAGGCTGGTCTCAAACTCAGAGATCCGCCTGCCTCTGCCTCCCGAGTGCTGGGATTAAAGGCGTGCGCCACCGCCGCCACCACCCGGCTGGATCTGGCATCCTCATACAGACATACAGGCGGGCACAATAGCAATGGAAATAAAAGAAGAGAAAAGAAGCGCCTGGCCAGCCAGAGTCCATCAGTAGTGTGAATGGCTCAAGAACGCGTGCAGAACTCGAGGCAGGACGGAAAGGATAACTTCTCATCTATTAACATCTGTGCTGTCTCCCTTCCGTGCCATGGCCGTACATTGTTTATCTGGCCACTGGTGTCTGATTTCTGGAACTACGTCCTTTCTCATGATGACTAGCATTCTTGTTATAACGTTGCCCATTTATCCTCTTGTCTGCTTTCTCTTAATCCAGGCTGAAGAATTGCAACCTGGTTATTCTGTGTCCAACTACATGTTCGTGGCCAAGGTAAGGGAGAGGACTGCTTGAAGATCACTCTGAGTGCATTACATTAAATGTGGCTGGCCTTTCATATGGATTTCTTTTTCTTCTCTAGTGTTACGTTGATCTTGAGGAATCTCAGGATGCTTGGAAATTCTGCAACTTGGCATTATTACTGCCTATTGTTACCAAAGAGGTGAGCCTAGACAGTGAGAGTGAGTGTGAGGGCCTCACTGGCACTGAGGTTCAATTATCATCTTTTCTAACCTTCCTTTGTGCTGTTAATTTTTTTCTAAGTTGTGGATGTACCATCAGGGATTCAGTTCCCTTTCTGTTGACCACATAGGATAAAGTGATTTATATGTGTAACCACCTGTCTCTAAAAGTTTTCTTTCATTCTGAAACAGACCCAGTTAGTGATTTTGCTAACTAGTTTATTCATTGCCCAACTCAAAGCACCACGAGTTACAGTGAGGATGCCTCACTGTTAGCTTGCTCCCCGCCTGGGAACTTTCTTAGCATCTTTCATCTTTCTTGTGGCACCTACTTGTGGCACCTATAACGTCTTCTCTGAATGACGTTATCCGTGAATGTGTCTTTGTCTCTCACTCAGGACGTTCTAAACCTGTTACACATCTGGTTGCTACTCAGACTGTTAGCCATTTGGTCTCGAGAGCCCAAATTAATGTGTATAAACAGCTTTACAGCCCGAGAATCCCAAACGACAGCATTACTATTACTTATGTGAGCATCTCTTCACTTTAAGGGGCCAATCACAGATCCTAAAAGACATTCTCTAAAACAGAAAATAAAAGGAATTCCTATGTCTAAGGCAGTATATAAATGATTGCTGAATGAAATATTGTCTCATCAATAGCCTCACACTGTTTACCTAGCAGCAGCATTCAAGTTCAGCAGCCTGGAGTGTGCTGAGAAGGTCAGATGAGAAAGAAAATACAATGCTTTGATTCACAGTGACAGAGGTACTAATATGAAGGATAAACTGTACTTTAAATTGCTATAATATTTTCAGATGACACTAATCACTCACGGGAGAGTTATCGCTAGTATAAGCTACCTGATAAAGTCAATAATGCAACGTCTGACATTTATGAAACATTATATGGTAACATGTTTGTATATGTCATCTATGCATACATGGCTCTTCTGGGGTAATCTCAGGTAACCTCAAATCCTGCTGCTAGGGTTACAATTTTACATCACTTAGAAAAGGCAGACAGCACTACATTAACATACTGGAAGAACCAGGGTGTCAGCCTATGTGAAGACTTTCCCTTCTGCATCCCACTCCAGATTTCACAGAGAAACACCTCCTTACATTAACTACATTCTCCTAGACCTGCATTCTACTCAGTACTAAGGAATCAATAGTCTATTTGAATCCTTATGTCTAAGGCAGTATATGATGATTGCTGAATGAACTATTGGCTTCATCAATAGCCTCACACTGTTGGCCTAGCAACAACGTTCAAGTTCAGCAGCCTGGAGTGTACTGAGAAGGCCCCAATAGGCTATTTATAACAACAGCCTTTCAAGAAATACACCTATGTCACAAATCGTCGATATCAAAGTACTTAGAGTATAGAGATCAGTGTGTGACATCTCATTGTACATTTGTATTTTCTTTATAGGACAAGGACGCACACAAAGAGGTGAAAAAAATAATCTGTTCTTTGAAGAGGTAAATAAAAGAATTTATTCTTCGGTAATCCCAATACGGTCTTCTAGAGTTTACCAGAATTGTATTTTTATAATCCTGTTCTCCTTAATGTAAAGATTATGTGTTCTCTTTTGATTTGAAGGTATAATCAATCATGCCTTCTGCAGCAGTTGCACTACAAAACAAACCATGGTATTGGAAACAGTATTTAATGTTGGTATGTGATGATCCTTAAACATGTATGCTTCATTTTTTTATGTCAATAAACTACAGCCTTTAGAATATTTGTGTAACAAACACGTAAGTCAGTCTAATAAAATGCACCTTAGTGAATGTTATCATCGCTTCAATAGACTTTATAAAATAAAATAATCTTATTCTTAAGGACGAAAATGTAAGCGCTGGACACAGTTGGTAGAAAAGGGAGAAAAAAGAAGTATAGTTAATAATCAGAGAAATGTAAATAGAATTACAATAAAATACTGTTTTACTATCAAACTTTGAAGTTTTTTTTCTTTTTTCAGGAAATGGTCAAAATGATCAGTATTGCCATAAGATGAAATGTGTTTATACACTGTTAGTTATGGGGGGGGGCGGTACTTTTGCTACAACCCTTGAGTTAACTATATCTAAGGCCTAAAAAATATATTAAGTCGAATCCTGTAATGTCACATCATGGAAATATCCCTAACGAGAAAGTACAGGTAAGTCATGTGTATTCCCAGCAACGTAACAAGAGAACAGGTAATCATACTATAGCTTCACTACAGTAGAAATATTCTGAGATTAAAAATAATTATATACTAGACATGGTGGCACACTCATTAATCCCATCGCTCAGGAAAAGGAGGTATGGTCATGGGTCCTAGACTGGCCTGCTTAAAAAGCAAGACCCTGTCTCAAAAACAAAAATACACACACAAATATAAGATACAATATGATATAGGTAAAAGCAGGAAGATCATGAGTCCTACATGGACATAAAAGCAAGACTCTGTTCTCATGTTTGTGTGTGTGTGTGTGTGTGTGTGTGTGTGTGTGTGTGTGTGTGTGTGTGTGTGTTTTATAGGGAAATGCATAGAATATCTTGTGAATAAGACAAAATGGTACATAGATGTGATGTCAGCTGTATGAAAATATGCCAGGAAAGTATTAGTAGAAAATAAACTAAAATAATGCCAGTTTTATTTCTGTGAGTCTGTGTTTTACTTGCTTTATTTCCCAGTTTTTAGTAATAAACTAAATACAATTTTTAAAAATTAAACTTAGTCATCAGTGATTGATAAAGATCCTCTGGTATCCTTTAACCACCCAAGAAATTAAAGGAAAACTTAAATTTCTTGTTCGCTCTCCTCAACACACAAACACACACACACACACACACACACATACACACACACAATCCCTCACTTAAAGATGCCAGCTAATCAAATGAGCTGTTTCTTCTAAGATAGTGGCCAGTTGAGGTACCAAATCGTTCACTTTCCTCTACAGATGACCTACGTGCTGGCTGGGGTAGGAACCATGCAGGCCACTTCATGACTTTGCAAAGGCTACGGTGTTCTTAATAGTGACTGTTGGGCTCTAAAGAGCTAAAAATAATAAATAATACTAATAATAATGTGCAAGTTGAGGCAGGCTGGTCCAGCTAGCAATAAATTGTAACACAAATTGCTCAATGGTCTTTTAATAAAAAAACCCGGAGCCAGATATTGGAGTAAATGCTGAAAGATCAGAAAGACAAAGGAACAAGCCACTGCCACGTTTCACCTCGCCAACTCCATGAATCCTCTAACTTAATTAATGCCTCTGAGTCCTCAGCTGAAAGGCTTCCAGCCCAAAAAGGCTCTTCAGCCGAAAAGGGCTTTAGTTCCTGTCTCCTCACCCCGTATATACCTTTCTCTGCCCAGCCATATTTCTTTCTTCCTGTTTCTGGGATTAAAGGCGTGTGATTCCCACTGGGTGGTGGTGGCGCGGGTGTCTTTAATCCCAGCACTCGGGAGGCAGAATCAGGCAGATCTCTGTGAGTTCAAGGTCAGCCTGGTCTACAGAGCAAGATCCAGGACAGGCACTAAAACTGCACAGAGAAACCCTGTCTCTGAAAACATCAAACAACAACAAAAAAGGTGTGTGATTCCCAAGAACTAGGGTTAAAGGTGTGTGCCACCTCTGCCTGGCATCTTTGATTAATCTAGTGGCTTGTTCTGTCCTCTGATCTTTACGCATCTTTACACGATATATCACCACAATAAATGGCATCGGGTTAGTCACGTCATAAGCTTTGTGGAAACAGCTCTACAGCCCCTTCTAATAGAAAACAGTTTAGGGGCTTTTCGCTAAGGAATATGAGGAAGAGAAACAATGTCCTGGCAGGTAAAAGAGACCTGAGACTCTGGTCATAAGACCTAGTGTTCATTTATTTTAACAAAATTTCTGTTTGGTCCCTGCTGTCAATATGTCCTTAATGGGCAAGTTGGTAGCCACTGGTCAGGTAATTAGTGTAGCAGTTTGTGAATAAGTCCTCGACCCAACGGCAGCATGACGCTCCTACATTAGTCGTCAGAGTATTGGCGATTTCCCACCCATGTGGCAGTTTCTCCCAGAGTGTTAGCAGAAGACCCCTCCCCACCATGGTCACACCTCCAAATATTAGCACTAAACCCAGGCTGTCTGCCCCCTCATGCGCGCGCACACACACACACACACACACATGCACACACACACACACACACATGCACACACACACACA